AGTTAAGTCCAGGCTCGAGAAGTGCTTCGCTATGAAGGACCTCAGAGAGGCTTTCTATATTTTGGGAATAAGGATAGTAAGAGAAAGAAGTAAGAGACTAATAGGACTTAGTCAGAACACTTACTTAGAGAAGGTACTAAAACGTTTTAGCATGGAAAACTCAAAGAAGGGAGAATTACCGATACAAAGTAATGCCAAGTTGAGTAAGAATCAAATTCCGAGTACCGAAGCTGAGATAGCTGAAATGAGTTGAGTTCCATACGCTTCCACAGTTGGCTCAATCATTTACGCTATGACTTGTACTCACCCTGATGTAGCCTTTTCTTTGAGCATGGTTAGTAGATATCAAGGGAACCCTGGCAAAGCCCATTGGATTGCAGTGAAAAATATCCTTAAGTACCTTCGGAGGACGAAGGAATGGTTTTTAGTCCTCAGAGGGAGTGATGACTTGAAGGTGCGAGGGTATAGTGATGCCAGCTTTCAAACCGACAGGGACAACTAGCGTTCGCAGTCGGGCTGGGTCTTTACCTTGAATGGAGGAGCAGTAACTTGGAAGAGTTCCAAGCAGGAAACTATAGCTGATTCAACGTGCGAATCAGAGTACATTGCAGCGAGCGAAACGTCGAAGGAGGCAATATGGTTGAAGAACTTCATCGGTGACCTTGGATTTATACTTGCCATAAAGGAGCCCATAGAGATTTTCTGTGATAATGAAGGAGCGGTTGCCTTGACCAAGGAACCGAGGGATCATGGTAGATCTCGACATATCGACAGAAAATATCACTTCATCAGACATCGTGTAGAAGAAGGACAACTCGTAGTGAAGAGGATATCATCAGAAGATAACCCAGCAGATCCGCTTACGAAGGGACTGAGTAGGGTTAAGCACTTGCAGCATGCTAGGAGTATTGGGTTGAAGGATGATATTAGCATACATTAGATAGTAGTAGAGACGTGTAATAGATAAATTTAATTAACATTTGATGATTAAATAAAGGAGTTTTATTTATGAGTAATGTTACTGTCTTATGTTAATTGTTTAACTATTGTTTCACTTTGCATGTTTTGACTTCCAGAATAATTGAGTTTATTAAGAATAATCGACTTATTCGAATTGTCCACAATCGTTCATATGTTGGAAGTAGGTATGAGTGAAGATTGTCATGAATTGGTGTGTAGATTGTCTAAATGGTATTAGACATAGCAAAAGTTTGCTACCACATTCATGAGTGCTTATGAACTAGTTTTGAGCATTGGAAAAACTCGCGCTTGCTGGAATCACCTTATGGAATGTGGCAAAAGGGTGATCGCAAGACGATAATATCATATGGTCTTAAAACCTAGATATATGGTTTGTTATTTGTTAATTGGTTGTACATTGATAATGTGAAACCGCATCAGTAACTTGATGCTATAAAACACATTGTTGTGTATAATTGGTTAATGAATAAGTAAATGCATATAAGTCGAAGTTTATCTGTTACTTTTATCCTAAGAAGGAAAAAGCGATATCTCGACCGCTCGATGATTTGATTTGACTTATGTGCTGGGCCCGGTCAGAACTAAATTGATGTGTTCGATTAAGTTCTATGTCAAATAAATCTGAGATCGAGAAACCAAAATGCTAGACAATTGGTTCCATATAAATGTCAGCATGATATCTATACAGAGGACTATACGATCCCTTATCTAAAGGACAAGATTGATTAGATCAGAGTTTAACAGCGTCTTTGAGAGCTATGATTGCAAACCGTATTGTGCTTGTGCATATAGTTACTAGACTTATCAAAGTGGGAGACTGTTGGAATAATGTCTAAGGCTGCAACTATATTAGGCAAGTACTTGACCTGGTTGTGCGTGGTCCTTTTGGGTTGCCTTCACCAAAGCAACTTGACTGGAGAAATAAATAGAGAAAGTGGTTATTATGATTTATTAACATGTTATAAGAATAATATATTAAAGGAGAAATCATATTTGTTTAATTAATATTGGCCAATAATTAATTAGGAATTAATTTTGTGATCAAGTGTAATTAATTAAACTAGAGGGGCTGAATTGTAATTATGTAATAGTTGCAAAATAGAGCAATGGTTATCCTTGTTAAAGGATGGACGAATTCAAGGATAAGGATATCCTTAAAATCATCCAAGGTCCAAGAGATAAGGGTTTTCAAGGCTTATCTTGTGGTTGCTTGGTGGGCAAGTAACTGGATAAGGATAAGGACTGAAACCCTAATCCCAACCCTATATAAAGACCCCTAAGGCCTTAGAATTTCGTCCACTTGATCCCTAGAGCATCTAAGGACGATTTCTACCTCCTCCATTCTCTCTCTATAGCCTCTCCAATTGCTTGTGGTGTTTGTAAGCCATTAGAGGCGCTACACTTGTGGTGCTTGCTTTCAAGACTAAGGGTTTGAAGATTTAAGTTGTTATTGCAATATAACAACAAGAGGTATGTGATCTAACCTTATATATGAATTTCTAAAATAGGATGCTACATTAGGGTTTTATCCATGTGATCATAATGTTGTGTATCTAATAGTGAAAACATAGATCCAAATTAGGGTTGCATGCACACACAGGATTGTTTGTATAAAACCCATCATACATACCATGCAACACACTTAAATACCTATCAAATATCCATGCTCACTCATTCCATTTAAACCATGTCCAGGGAATCACTCTCCATTTATTCACCAGCAAACTTCACCTTTCCTTCTTCCATTCCTTTTACATTTCCAGCTTCAAGTCTTTAAATTCTCTCAAGAACAAGCTAGGTTCTCTTCAAAAATCTTCATCATCTAAGTGGTTTTCATGTTTTTTGGGTGGGGGGGGGGGGGGGGGGTCATACAAATCGAGTTTCATTTACCCATTGGATATTTACATGCACCAACTTGTTTATGGAATGTTTTGTGCACTTAATATCAAAAACTTCATGATTACATATATAAAATCATGTTTTGTAAACTTGTCATAAGTTAAAAATGCGTTTGTCCATTGGATAATTTCAAGCATTATGATTATCTGATGAACATGGAACATATTCTTGTATAAAAAAGTTAATATCAACTGTTAACTACATAAAAACTTTGACACATGTGTTTTTTTATCATTTTGGTTGTGATTGACTTTATTTGACCCAAAATAAAAATATTTTATGTTACAAATTTACAAACTAGTAAAAAGGATGTTAAATAAAACTACAAAGTTCGATATTTTCTTAGTAAAATAGTCGTAGATTGTCATAACTATTTTATATGGGTTAAAAACCCAAGAAAACAATATGTTACTACAAGACTTAACTATTATTTAAAGTTTTATAACTAGTTTTCGTAAAAGAAATTACAAGACAAACTATTGACATAAAATTTTGCGTGTCATAAAACGCCTTTCATGAATTTACACTAGTGAAGCCATTTTCATTATATGATACAAGAAAGGAGTTGTAGTTCACGTAAATATGTTAATGGTCTAGTGAGACACTCTACCTTCATTGTACCTACCCAGCGTATACTGTAAGTCTTGTAATTATAACCAGAGTCTCCTGGAGGAAGAGCGAGGTAGTTGTGTATATATCTATATGGGGATTGACACCCCCACACCTAAGTTGTTCGCTACAGCTAGACGGGGTTAATCTAGGGTGACAATTACCCTACCTCTTTTTAACGCCTGAAGAACATCACAATAGGCATACAGTCACATCAAGCATGATTATAATGACTCACATATGTCTTAACAACACTATCTTGGTTTATAGAAAGCTTACACTCCACTGGTTTTATAAATTATAAAACTACATACTATTTTTCAGTACACTATTATCACTATTCTGATTTTAGGGTTTTAAGACTACAGATTTTCATACATAAGAAAATATTGGATTTTCTGGGAACATACATAGAAATATGCATACATACATTTTCTATTTTTGGTATCAGACATTCAATTCACCATTTTAGAAAGTATCCGATTTTCTGGAAACATACAATACTTTTCAAACAAAACAGATACAACCCGTTTTCATACAAAAATGCTTATGAACACACCATATTCATTGTTGACGATTTTCAAAATGACATGTATTCTCAAGGAACCAGTAAGCAGGTACTTAAGTCATCGGGAACTGGATTTTTGTTGCACTCTGGAATTGTTACATTTCGGTTAATGTTGTGTAAACTTTTAACAAATACACTATGTAAACAATGTAATTTTGTATCTATTAATGTATGTTGTGTGGGTTTCTATGTTTATTTATATTCAATTTTTATGATACTATACAATAACGTCATCCACCCCCGGACGTTTCCGCCGTCCTGGTTCGGGGGTGTGATAGATTGGTATCAGAGCATTGTTTATAGTGAACTAGTATATCTAACCATACAAGATATACAACTATAAATACAATAAGACTAAAACACACTGACTAAATGTATACTTTAAAAATATAAGTATTTTTATAAAAGTATACCTACACGTGAGTAGATTAACAGTAAAGTCCTAATAAGAAACAAATAAAAAGTCCTTAGGGGAGTTGGACATCGCGACTAAAATTAGACAGTTATGTAATCATATCTAGGGTAAATATAGCCTGATCAACTATATTTTTTCAAGATATGACCAACATGTGTTTAGGAGTGGTCGAGTTGGACAACAAATCTAAAACTTACCAACTTTAAACCAAAAGGGTCTAAGAACAAAACTAAAAGAAATAAAATACTATAGGGGTATTTTGAAATTCTATCTATTTTCTCATACTTATATACTCTCATACAAATGCCACGGCAGACTTTAACCACCCAAGAGATCCTTACCCCCCCCCCCCAACCATGGGGCGGGGATAGAGGGGGATTCGGAGGAGGATCTGGAAGAGGTCATGGAGGAGTTCAGAAGGGTGTTTCCAACAACAAGATACCAGCTGATCATATCTAAGAAACATTTATGATTAGTAGCAGTATTAGCTTTACAAGCTCCAGTCAATCCAAGGATAGAGTTCAAAGTTTAAGTGGTGCATAAGTGTTTGTCTCTCAAGAAAAACATGCTTCTCAGAACTTTCTGACATTCCTTCCATTGGTACACAACACATGAATGTTCTCTTCCAATTTGACCCAACTTAAGCTTATGGTGGTTATTCGGTTCTTTTTCAGGCTTCAGAATCGGCCTGTTCTTCATAACATACACTATTTCTACATCCATTTTGGCAGACTCATGGATGTAGCGAATAAGCATCCTCTTTAGGTGTGCAACAATTGGCTCATAAGTCTTTTCATCTTTAGACATAATCAAGAGCAATGAAATCCAGTCATACGGATACATGCATGGTAAATCTGCCAGAGTAAATTCATCTGCGGTACGATTTGCTCCTCGGAATCCTTTAAACATAATGTTTATGAAGTTTTCAATCGGAAAAGCTGCATAAACCTTCAAAGCATCAATCTTATGTTGTCTCCATGTTTTAAATTAAGGCTTGGCATATTTAAGATGGAAAGAGAACAACATATGGTTAACATCAAAGTAAGAGAGCGGAGCCTTTTCAATATTCTCAAAGTAATGAAATAGGAAAGCCCTAGGAGTGATTAGAAAATCAAGTTGAGATTCCATAGAATTTTCCAGATCAAAAGAAACTGATGGTTCCAGCTAGTGGGTGCTTGGATCATCAATAGCCTCCCTCTAGATTCGTTCCATCGTCCACGGAGGAAAGGTCGACTTCCGAGTTTCAAGAGCGACTTTCGCAACGTGAGCTTCCCTTTCTTTATCTTCTAACTCTTTTCGAAGATGAAAAAGATTATCAAGCTCCTTGTCACGTTTCTTCCTGACTAACTTTTTGCCTTCAGATAACTCTTCTTCTTCTTCTTCATCAAACACTTTATCTTTTCCTTTTGATGAAGAAGCTTCATTACCCTTCTGATCATTAGGATTCAGCTTTTGCTCAGTTTCACCAGTCGTTTGCTTGGGATTTTCTTTGATATCCCCCCTAGTTTCGGAAGAACATCACTTTCCGAAACACCTTCAAGTTTTTTTAGCATCAAAAAAACTCGTTTAATTTTGTCTTAAAGATGTTATCATACTGAGATTGTGATTAGTGAATCACGAGTCTCTGCAAGATGGTGTAGGTATTGATTAATTTCAGACACACAACTTTTAATAACAGTGTTCTCAGATTCCAAGTCACCTAGACGGTTGTTTGTGTACTACAACTTTACTAAAAGCACCTTGTCTTTCTCCGTATTTTGAGCAAATTAATCCACAAGATTATTTTCTGCGGCAAGATCATTCTGAAGTTTCTCAATCTTTGAAACGACAAATGCATTCAGTTCAGTGTTGTCTAGCTTGATCTTAGAACGAACAAGGGAAAGAGCTTCCTTCTCAGCTTGTAGGGAAGTCTGAAAACCTCCAATAACATTGTTAATGGACTTTGTATTGGAATCAATAGAGGTTCTGAACTCAACCATAAAGGAAGTAACATCTTGAAGTAGCTTTTCGACTTTTTTGGTCATTTATGAGATGGTTGTCTCTGATGCTTGGACAGTCTTTGTAGATTCAGCAAGGACCTTTGCATTCTCCTTTGTTATCATTTCAACTGTTGCTTCATGAGACTTCAACATGTACTCATAGTTAGATGAAGATTTGGAAGACTCCAAAATAGAATCCAACTTTTCATTGAGTTGTTTAAATTGCCCTTTAGTCATCAGTTCTTCATCATCATCACAGGTTTGGTTGATGGTGAAAGGGCTGAAAACAAAGTCTATGAAATTTTCTTGAACATCCCCAAAGAGAATATCAGGATCGGAATCGAAGGTGGGTGATATTGCCATATTTATACATGTTTTTACGCAATATTTACTTATATTTTTATTTATATTTTGTTCATTTGCATTGAATAAAGGTACTTATAAGGTTAAAATATATATTGCAGCCAAATAAAAGGCATTTTGAAAAAAAAGGGACTAAAAGCATCAAAAGATGGAACTTTGGAGATTTGGAGAATAAAAAAAGAAGAAATCTACGAAATCAGCTTCAATCACGACGTGAACCACAAGATCATGACGTGACATGAATATTCTGGAGGATAAGTACGCGCGAAGTAAAAATCCTTGCCCAATAAGGATTTCTCCCAATTCATGACGTTAATTTATTATTCATGACGTGAAGCGCAAATTTTGAGATAACTATATATATTCTTAATCATTACGACTTGGGGGGCTTTTGGCTGACTAAGAGGAGGAGAAAAGATCTGGAATTGGCTTTCAACACCAAAGGAGAAGAGAATTTCATAATTGGATTCTAGTTTTGGTACTTTAATTATGTTTTTGAGTATGAGTTATTTGTGTTTATTTGCTAGGATGTCCAACTAAATCTAGCTGCTTCTGTTAGCTAGATGAGCTGGAACTCATGGTGTTAATATTTTATATTTGAATTTACTTGTTGGTTATGACTTGTATTTGATTGATTGAACCTAGCATGTTCGATTGCTTTAAATTCTTGTTCTATGTAGTTAGTAAATATGAAGCTGCATGAATTTGAATACGTAATAATTCAGTGAACACAAGTTTATTATAGCTAAGATCAATCCAATCTTAGATAAGTAATTGCACTATTGAATTAAGCTGTGCTACAGAACTCATAAAGGGAGCCTTCCTCTTTTTACCCTTCCCTTGCCCTATTTCCAAGACAAGGGCAGCAGCGGGAGAAGGAGTTGATGCAACAGACTTATCTTTGAGATTGCTCTCAGCAGTCCTTAGCAAGCCTTGAAGCTTGCTCAAAGTGACCTCTTCCTTATTCATGTGGTTGGTCATGCGGAACTGGTTGTATGAAGGAGGCAAGGAATGAAGGATGATGTTGATTGCCAACTCTTCATCGAAGTTAACATTTAACTTCAGCAGACGATCAACATATCTATGCATCTTTTGTAGATGAGTGGTAAGGGACTCTCCATTACCCATTTTGGCAGTGATCATCAAAGTGATGATCTCGTACCTTTCTTGCCTAGCGCTTTGATGGTACCGGTCCAGTAAGTCTTGATGCATTTCATAGGGGTACATATCCTCATAGGACTTTTGGAGTTCTGCAATCATAGTCGCTAGCATGATGTAATGAACCTTCGTAGCATCACGCTCATGGGCCTCAAAGGCATCAATCTCTTCAGCAGTGGTAGTGTTGATGTTGATTTCCTCCAACTTTTCATCAAGGACATACTCTTTGTCTTCATAACGAGTGACCATTCGGATGTTACGGATCCAATCATTGAAATTGGACCCGTCAAAGATCACTCTCCTACACGAGTTCATGAGTGAGAACGAGCCGGAGGAATTCAAACCGGAAGCGTTATTGTTGACGTTCAACATCTGAAATAGAAAAGGACAAAGTTCGATTAGAAATGAATCCCCAATTAAACACTAAATGAGAAATTAGGGCTAGGATCTAACAACATTATTTACAAATTAGAAGAGTGATGTCGTATCTAACATGCAAATAATTTGAAGTTAAGTGAATGACGACTCACTAACTCTCCATCATGAAAAATGAAAAAGCGATTAAGTATTAAATGTATTGAAAACTCCTAGATATTTTGAGATTAATTGAACTTTTCAATGACATGTTTAAATCTCGATATGCCCCTCTAGTTTGTGACTAGGATGTCGAGGATCACAAAGCGGGTGTGAATAACCATGCAAATGTACGTGGTGCCCTCATTGTTACAGTCACCTGTTCGATGTGCCGGTTATCCACACACGCTTCATCGAACTGTGACAAACATTGATTCACCCTTTGCCACCTTTTCTTAGAGCCCAATTAGTATGCCGGTTAACCACACACGCTCTACTAACGTCTTAACAAGGGTACAAAGTGTAATTTCATTGAATTGCATCAATTTCACTTTTTCCTAAAGTAACTAAGATTGGAAATTTTTGAAAAAACATTTAGTTAATTTTATAATTCATCATACTTATTAATGAGGAAAGGGTTGCCCTATCCTACCCGTTCGGCTAACAACCCTCCACCAATCAAGGAAGCGGTGAGTGATAGTGGACACCCATTAAACGGCCATTTTATAGGTCATAACCTTATACCCCCTTATAGATCGGCTTCGTGAATGAGGCCTACTAACGGTAAGACTACATTTTAAGTTATACATATATATATATATATATATATATATATATATATATATATATATATATATATATATATATCTTGTAATAATATAATAGTATAGCGTGAATTTTAAACTTGTAAAATTCTAGGGTTTGAAATTTAAATAATTCAAATTAAACTTTTAACCAAAAATTTAAATTTCAAAACTTGAGGGCAAGTTTTGAACTTTTCAAAACACAAAGGATCAAATAACAAATAATTCAAAATTAAACAATTAATTTAAAGATTATCTAGATTTGACCTAATCAATTTTATTCACAAGATAATTCATCAAATAAATTAAATAATCAAATATTATCATATAAGGAATTTATTATTCAAATAAATGGTAATTATCTTTTGTTTTTGGAAAGGATAAACATATAACAGTAATAAAATTCGGATTTTGTTAGTCAAAAACGATTTTGGCAATTATCCCTAAACAAAACAACAAGAAATCCCGAAAATCCCTCTTCCAGACGCTCCAACTCGTTGAGTCCCCTTATGGACTCGTCGAGTTCATCCTACTCGTCAAGCCCACATTGAGACTCGTCGAGTCTGTCAGGTAGATGACCCAAAAACTCGATTTTCAAGCAAGAATGAAACATAAAGCATCACATATAATAGAAGCCAATCAAGGCTTTGATACCACTGATGGGTTTTACACAAAATAAGATCCTATGTGCTCATGCAAACCCTAATGCTTGGATCTACACTTCTCTATTGTACATGCAATTCATCCAAGACTTGCAAACCCTAAATCTAGTGATATAATTCGAAATTAACATAACAAAACAGATCTGGATGATTACCTCTTCTTGAAAGCTTGAATCTTCTTTTTTTTTTGGAGCTTAGAGTCACAAATGTCACTCCTTTAATGGCTTACAAGCACCACAAGCAAGAGGATGATCTTGGAGAGAGGTTGGAGGCTCTATAATTCGGCTATAGTACTCTTAGAAGTAGGGTCAGCCAATTTCTGAAGCATAAGGAGTTTATTTATACTTGTGCTGCTAGGGTTTAGGTCAAAACCCTAATTGGATAGCTTAGGCCTTAAATAGTCCAAAGAACCTTCCAGAATAAAGGCCTTGGACGAAACTATATGGGCTTCTACTCTCAATTTCGTCCATCCTTTAATTTCAAAGGATTCTCAGCCCAAATCAACTATCACACAATTGACAGTTCCAATCCCTTTTATTTAATTAATCTCCTTTAGCCACAAAATTAATTCTTAATTAATTCTTGTCTAA